TGTTCAAAGATATACTACGATCTATGCAAACAAAAACAACTAACAGAGTATACAAGAAATTCTAGTTTTTTATTCTTTCATTTTTGAGAAATTGTCGATGACTTGTTGAATATCAGTGCAATGATGAAATGCAGATACTTCATAGCTAGCCTCTTCAGACAATTTCTACCTTTAGTACTCTAAAAATATGAGTGTCAACAAAGCTTCGTTTGCCTGTCGTTATTGTCATCAGTAACATTGCATTGAACATGAATTACGTAGATCTTTCTAGTAATTTTCATACTTATCAACCATCGGCAGGATAAGTCGAGATGGACCGTTAACATGATCACTGATTGTTTCAATGATAAACGCTACAAACGCTGTGCAATTGTGTGACAGAAATAGAAGTCATATTCAACAAAAGAATATTTGACACGATTCATTAGACTACATAGAGCATATTTATAGTGGCGAATAAAAGTTTAGAGCAGCTGTAAAGATTTTCTATCAGGATTTGCAAGTACAAAGACTTCAGCAAAACTGCTTCGATGAGGATCTACGAAAAATTAAGATCCTCAAAATCAGCTTTCTAGATTTCATTTGAACCTTTAGGTCAAATATTTCATTTGATGAAGCAAACGATTCTGAACAAAACAAGACGGTTCCAATCTCTCGATGACAATCCTTCATCGAAATACATTCAATTTACAATCGAATTTAAAAAGTATCAAACATAGCAAAACAGAAAAAGGCTTCTTAGGATTTTTGTAAATAAAATAGTTTGATGTAGAACGGTCATGTAGAGATCGGAAATATCTCATCCTGTTCTGTCAAACAAAATATTTTTCTAAACGTTTCGAATGAAAACTAAAGGTCTGGTTTTAGGGGTCTTGATTTTCCAAGGACCATCATTCGAACAGTTCTATTGGAGGTTTCGAGCCTAGCAATCCTGATAGAGAATCTTGTCAGCTATATAAATATTTTTCAGATTCTTGCTGGGTAATACTATCGAGATGAGAGCTTAAAAATAATGAAAATTACATACTACTTATCTTTGTAAGTCTCATAGCAATGCGAAAATACTTGGGGTATAAGATAAATAAATTTCAAGGAGGAGGTGACCGCTGCCACCTGAATTGTCATTAGTATTCTTGATGTGTATATTTACCGAGTTATTGAACTACGTGTAGTACGTGGTGGTGTTGTTGATATTAGTATTTCTGCTTCGATTTCATCTTCTATTCCTTGAAAAAAACATACATGAAATTTTCTTCTTAAAAATTATAAATAATTCATTTTTACCTTCACTTGTTTCATTTGTTAATATTTCAAGTAATTTACGTTGATAAATTGATCGAGTATGATCTAAAAAGATAAATAAACCTCTAATAAAAAAATTAATTTTTGCGTCCTTACTTGTTACAGGTCCAACAGCAAGACCATGTTCAGTTAGACTCTTACGAAGATCAAGATCACTTAATTTTGCAACATCAACACCTTTATTTTGTAAAGCCTAATGAATAAAAACGATAAAAATAAAGAGAAAAACAAAGCGATATTGATTTTCCTACCAATGAATGAAGACGTACTACATTTGATAATGTATCTTTTGACGCAAAAGGTCCAATTTCATAACCAATTTCTTTTAATTTACGTTGTAAATCTACTTTATTCGACATGTTTTACTTTAGAAATGATCTATTCGAACAAAGAGTTCAATCTCTGTGCTTGTCTCCTTTTTTCTTATAAATCAACAAATCAAATAATTACCACACAATTTTATGACTCATTTTGTCAAAACCCAATCAGAAAATATCATGAGTCATATGACATTGGCTCGAGAAAATAAAGAAAAAATAATAATAACGAAACTTACTTTGAAATCTCGATATCATTAAACCATATATTTATTCAATGATAATACTTTCTAGTGTTTTTATTTATTATCTTCTTCTTATTCCGTCAACAATTATTATTGCTTTAACACTTTACGGTTTTAGTTGGATTGGTTTTCAATTATTTATTCATAATTAAAAAATGAATCTTGTTCAAATCGAACGAACATCTTCTATTGAAAAATTTTTGCAAAATGTTTTAAAAAAAATTGATAATAAAAATTCAAATAATTATAAACAAATTGAAAATATTCTTCAATCAAAAGTAACCAAATACATTCCAGCTACAATTTTAATTGATGCATATAAATTATCAGACAAGGAAAATTATCTTCATGAAATATTAGCTGGTTGTGATTTATTTGTACCAGCTTACATTGAACCAGAACGAAATCCTGAATTAAATGAACGTATTGAAAGATTAAAAGCTGAACAAGCTAATCGTGAATATGATGAAATGACAAAAAATGTTAATCTAAGTAGATTATATTTAAATAAATCTCAAGATTCCATTATGCCTGATATGAAATCTATACAAGGGCAATTAATAACTGTTGCAAATGTCTTTTTAACTATCGGTGGTGCATTTGTATTTGGTTATAAAGCAATTGAATATTCAACTGGAACAAGAAATTTTGTTTTACAAATATCATGTGGACTTTTCTGTGCATTCATTGTTGCTATTGCTGACTTATATTTTCTTTTCAAACGTCTAAATAAACTTGAATAAGAAAAATAGAACTTCTATATCAAAATGAATATAATGTCTGACTGTCATAACATCTCCAATTCGACCAATTCAATACTTTTATTTTATTAAATAGATTCTGTAGATGAGATACAACCTAGAAAAACAGTCGAGTTTCAAGAAAAGGATTGTTTTTTTTTAAATCTAACTTATGACCGTGTTTGAATTTAGAAATAAACATAATCTTCGAACAAAGTTGATTATCAGCTAACTATCGTGAAAATGCCTGATTAATATCTTAATCCTATACAAAAATGGGCAACTTCATTCCAACTTTAATGAGAAGTAGTGTCAAATCCGAAGTTAGCTTCAACTTCGAATTGACATGGTCTAACTATGATCCTTTACTTCCTGTTTGACCATTTTTTTATCTATTCATAGACATTTTTTATTTGGGATGACGAAGCATCGAATCGAGAGAGTTACCGACCACTCTGTGAAAGCCTCAATAAGCTATAAATTAGTAAAAAAAATGTGTTTTTTTTTTATTTACTAACGCAGATCGATTATTTTGAAGTTGGTAAATTTGATATACACTACTATGGATATTGTTTGTTTGCGGAACAGTTTTTAAGCAATTCTTGATTATAAATATGAAACCAGCATTTGTCACAACAACTTGAGTCATTTTTGACTCATTCAGAATGAATGATCTGGTCTTTATGCTAAAAGCTTCACTTGAACTAACAGCCAGTTAAAAAGCATTCCACAATCGTTTAAAAGTAAATTTTTAATGATAAAGGATAGCAATCTGCAGTTTCTGTTATGGTCTTCCTTTTGGATGAACTTTTCACGATAGAAATCGATAATTTAGAATCGAAATCAGAACTAATGCAGACTAATAATTCTGGCATAATTGAATTGTTTTTCAAAACTAATCCATGTTAAGTAGATCTCAAGTTTTATTCAAATAAAATAACAACATAGATGTAAAAAGTCGTAAAAAAATCAAACTAACTATGAATTCTATTTTTATGCCATTGCAGACGAATTAGTCATTTTTGACTCATTCTGTATCATCACAAGATAATTACTTCATCCAAATTCTACTATACTGGTAAAATAATCATCCTCTGTGTAAGTTATACATTTGCTTGACTTAACACTAACTCTACTGGATGAGTATCGTGAACTAAATAGTTGAAGTTTGTTGCCATCTCACTTCTCTTTTTCATTTTCAGTATGACAGAACCTTTGTTCGAATAATTCAAAAAATCACTTTTCATTTGTTCTTGTTCTTAAAGTTTTCAATTTTCGATTCTCTGTACTTCGCATGAATTCATGGTCTTAGCGTATTTTTCGATGTGTACTATCTCATAATTAATGCCCTTTATATCGTGTCTTAGATGACACATTCAAGTAAACAAAAACCGATATATCTATTAATCTTTTCTTGAGAATAAGAATTAAGCAAAAGTGTGTCCGACGATATGGTGTATTTCTTTATCAGAATACAATCATGTTCGAAACGTCATCAAACTTGATTGTGTATGGATTTCATTGATTAATAAAATGATGCTTCCATATGAGTTATTCCATTGAAAATGGTAGACATATTGTAAGGATTTAGATTCTCTTATTAACTCATTTAATAAAACTAAAATGTGAATAAACAAATAAACATCATTTTCATTATTTCCAATTTGTAAAATAAGACTATCTTCATTTTTGAACATACATAATGAATATTATTAACGAGTTAAAACAAGAAACTCAAGTCAAGAGACTTTTATACATATATCCCAATTCGGCTAATTATGTCATCAATGTCTATTATTTGTACGTGTGAAAATATATGAAAACTATTGAGACTGATGATGACGAACTGGCATGTATATTTTAGAAATATTCATCAGCATCATAGGTAATGTTTACATTTGCAAAATATTTACCAATTGTCGAATTTTATTAGTTTTTAAAAAACTTTTTCAATCGCATAGCATTCGAAGATCAATATAAATATAGACTCTTCTATTTCATTAAAAAAAATATGTTATTTGTCGTTTTAAAGTTAAAACTATTACTTTTAAATATTAATTATAGAGTGAAGAATCATTATATCAGATGCAATGGAATAAAATCATAGAAAAATTCTGTGAAGTAATATATATATTTTACATGCTAGAAATCGATAAGAAAGTCTTCGAACATGAAAGCATACAAATAAAAATCAAGCTGTAAAAAAATCAATGTCAAATAGAAAATCTGCTTCTTTCAAGTGTAACGAGAGGATAGTATGTTGTATTGGTCAATGTTACAGGTGTCATTGGCAAGAGTCAGGTGTGGATGTGAGGTGTAACTGAGTGTGAGTATTGATTTAGAGAAGACATACATCCAACACCCTCAAGATCATGACACTAATGTTTATGTTGATAATGACACAAAAAAATGATAATGTTGATAGCAAAGATTATGTTGATGTTAGTAGTGAGGGTGAAGCTTTCGCTGTTGACAGTGAAAATGATGATGTTGATGTTAATAGTGACAGTGAAGATGATTATTTTGATATTCATCTTGATGATGTTAGTGATGATGATGTTGGTGTTGCAGATCTTAATGTTGATGATATAGATGATGATGTTGGAGTTGATACCGATGATCAAGATGGTGTTGTTGATATTGATGGTGAAAACGATGATGTTGATGTGGGATTTGATGGTGAACATAATATTGATTCTGATGGCGAAGATGAAGGGGTTGACGACGATCATCTTGATGCCCACGTTGATGACGAAGATGATGATGCTAAAGTTCACGTTTGAGATGACGATGACATTGATGGTAAAGATGAAGTCGTTGATGTCGATGTTGACTTATATCACCTAAATCTCACATATACTAACCTAACCTAAACTTACCGTCTTACACTAAGTTGTCCTAACCTAAACTAAACTTACCTTACCATCTTACATTAATCAATCCTAGCCAAGCATGTCGTCATGTAACCTGTGTATATTAATCTGTATATTGTAGCCTTACCTGTCCAATTGTGTTACTTAGTATTTGCCTAACCAATCTCTATATTAGGGCACATAGTTCAGCATTGTGCATATCAGTCTAATTATGTTGATTCTGAATCCAGAGATACTCATTGCAGTGCGCATCAGGAATACTCGGCATTTTATGAAACAGTTCACCTCGATCTTTATTATTGGTCCTACAGGCGTGAATATTGAATGTAGTAGGAGCATTGTTAGCTTGTTTTATTTTTGCTCCACAATGTACATAAATTATTTGCTGAAGATCAAAATTAAAATTTCGCATCACTCTTCTATGTTCTTCTTCTGAATATAATTCGCTGTCATTGTTTTCAAATTTTTGCTTTCTCTCGACTCTTTGAATGCACGATTTACAATTTTTGGTTGAGACACCAGTCGTACACGTAATACAAGCTGAAAGTCACTTGTATCAAGTCTCCACTTTACAATCTCTGGTTATTGACCGAGCATGGATGTCTAAGCGTCACGGTACGGCTGTCATTATTTTTGTACCTTTAGCTTCTTTATGGCAATGCACACAGACAACTTTGCTTGTCTTAGTGTCAAACATTCTGAGAACTAATTGTCGGCTTTCTCCTTTCTAATTCGCAGTTTTTGGTAAAATTTGTTCGAATGGAAGATCTTTCAAAACATCATTTGCGAGTCTTGTTATAATGATAACGCAAGCCTTATAAGTGTTTTTGCTAGAGCACTAAACCATCTGAGTAAAAAGTCTAGAATACACCATGGCATTTTGTTCACGATTTGTCTGCAAGCTGGAGGCTCGAAAGGCAAGCGAGTACAGTATATTGAAAGATTTAGGATCAATATGTATCTCGTTTCCAAAATGAACGCAGATAATCATTTCGATGTCGCGGTTGTAGTTTTGAAGAGCAAGAGTCTGTCCATCTGCTTTTTGAATATCGAATCTTACCGTTCAATCCACACACAGTGCAGTTTGTAGCATTTTCGTCTTTTCCATCAGAACTAACGCGAATGTTGAAGAGAGCTACCACAGAAGCTTCCATATCTCGACTGTCATCAGAAGAGACTACGACGAGACGATGAGGTACATTTCATTGAGTTAAAATATACATTGCAAAATTCAAAGATCGTGGTTTGATTTTCTTTCTATAGTAACTCCTCCAGCGCTTGAATGGTGGACTTTATATTGTTTGTCCAACATAAAACCAACGAAAAACTTCAACTTTATTTTGTAATGGTAGTTCGTTTTCGAGATATTTACGGAATTATGTCACGATAAATTCACGATAATTTCTAATGTCTGAGTCACAATGAGGATGATCAGATAGCATTCTCAATTTCTTCACAATAACTTTTTACGTCCTTGGTCGAAATGTCAAAACTCCAGACGTATGTTGCTCCCAAATCAGTTTGACCGTTCTATTGAGGAGGGAGAATAAGGTAATCTTTCGGAAGCACTAGCTGCTCCAGATCAAAAAAAATGCAGGTTCACTTTCTCGCCATGCTTAGCGAAAGCAACAAAAATCTTATTCAACGCAGGATTTTGAATGCGCACCTTATCTAACGGGTCACCGGAAGTTCGCCAATAAGACTTTCGCCAATAGGACATTCGCCAATGGCGAAAGTCTAGAGGCATATTGGCGAAAGTATAGTGGACTTTCGCCAATTGGCGAAATTTCAGGGGGTGCATTGGCGAAAGTTCACTGTAGTTTCACCAATTGGCGAAAGTACAGTGGACCTTCGCCATTGGCGAGAATCGTATTTGGAGAAAGTCTTATTGGCGAAGTTTCGAAATCCCCACTTTATAATAGTCATGTGCTTTTTTATTCGGATACAAACTCAATGAAATAGATCGATACACAAAACATTAAGTCTTTCATAAACATGTAATTGAATTTTATTTTCTAGAAAATGAACTTCAGGATATGGTGAGTGGATGGGGGTTGTGGTAGTGGGTATTGCTGTAGATGCGAGTTAGCCTTTTTTCAGTCACATACACACTCACACCCCATCCCCACACCCAAAACCGAGATGTAAAAATAATTCACTGCCAAATCTAAAACCTGTTCCTTCTTAGTGTAGGAAAAAAAAGATGTTGTAGTCGTCAACTTAGCAGATCTCATTGACAAGAACTCGTGCAGTTAAGGCTGCCATTGATGTTGTCCAGAAGACATCCGTTACCAAGACCTGTTTGCAAATTAATCGATGTTGTATAGTTAGCAGAATTATAGTCGCAATCACAGTTGATAGTACAGTAATTATTCGTCCAAATGCAATTGTAGCATGATGCATTATACGATGAGCCAGCGCATAGATGACAATTAGCTATTGAAACAAGAAAAATATATTAATCATTGATAACCAAATAATAATATGCATAATTTCTTTGAATATTATTTAAATTAAATGCGAAAGTAAATGTTTTAAAGAGCATCCTCTCAGAAAACCCAATTTTCGTCAAGTTTATCGTCTTTTGTGATTGAGCCCTCATTAGATAGAGCAAAGTGTATACTTTCGAATGCACTATAATTTTGGAACTTCATGTTAATATTTAAAGATGTTACAGAGACTTTTCTGAACCCATCTACTGAAAAGATTGACTATTTTTCTAAAAACTCGATGGTTGCTGCTATCTCGGTAGACATAGTATGTCCATATGACAATGAAAAAAATTTATCTTTTACATCTTCATGTACGCGCATTTGATTCTTTCTAATCAGTGAACTATGAAAAACTGCTGGAAGATCTCTTTTATATCAGCTAATGAAAGAAAAGCATTGAATCACAGTTTTCAAAGTTATCTTTCGCTTTTCTCACAGTTTCTTTTTTTTCGCATACTGTTAGTGCGAGAGAGTCTTTCTCAATAACGACTCAACCTAAAAATGATAATGCTTTTCTATTATATAGCAGACACTTTGGATAGACTCTACTAAAGCCCGATTTTTGAATTTCTCCTTTGTTCAGATAAAAACAGTGGATCCTTGATTATAACTAGCGATTTTTTAAACCACGAATCTGAGAATTTTTAGGAATCATTTTCCAAAATGCAACCATAGGGAAAAGAAATAACTCAGGCTCTATTAGGATCTAGCCCTAATCGAATTCCACAATTTAAAAAACGTCCCGACTTGCTCACCTCAGAACCTCTCGCTGAGAACCTTATCCGCATGAATGTAACGTTTCCGGTTGAGTACATTGTATGCAAGATGTTTGTCCTCTTCGCAATACTTCTTCTGATCTTATGTATTGTCCTTCTCTTTCTGTCCTTATTTTGCACATCATGTGGTAGTTTGTCCCTATTCTATTTTATCCTCATCATTCTTTTCTTTCATATTTCTCTCTTCTCTATGACAGTTGTATATGTAAATGTGTGCTTTGTATGTAAACGATGCGGTTCTTGATAAGAACAAACACAATAAAGCTTACTTTCACCAGCGCTAACTCTTCTTCTATCCAAAAATCGTCACAATGAAATGTACTTTTAACATTGAATTGACTGTAACTACTGAATGTCTTGCGGATTCGGAGAGATATGTTAACCATAACCTACTGTAGCCAACACTAACATCCTCTGCAATTTTAGCTGAATTCCATGAAAAAAACTTGTTTGTCAGGGAGGTGGCTCTCAATCTATTATTAGACGTAAAAACAATAGAAAAAGCAATTGTCTAGTTATTTATATTCCATCGATATCTCAGAGGGACTTATAACTCGATCTTGCAATTACAATACATACTTGTGTTACAATCTGAGCCAGTCCACTCGGGCGTACATGCACAAACACCAGGGGCTGTGCAGTTCCCATCGTTTTCACACGAAGGATCGCAGACAGGTATTTCGCATCGAGTTCCATTCCATTGAGTAATATTACATTCACATATACCAGGTGCTGTGCAGTTCCCGTTGTTTTCACACGAAGGATCGCAGATAGGCATTTCGCATCGCGTGCCATTCCATTGAGTAATATTACATTCACATACACCAGGCGCTGTACAGTTCCCATTGTTTTCACACGACGGATCACAAACAGGTGT